AAAAGAAAAAAGAAAAAAAAAAAAAACAAACAAAAAAGAATTTTTAACGATTTAAAGACTTAAAGAGTGCAACAATTGTCATCATTCCATGTAAGATAAAACATTCTAATGTTACTAATATATACATTTTGTCAGGTGGACATGCTGTCTATTATTTTTTACTGCGATATATAGTTCTCTATTTTTTACGGTAACTCCAAAGGGACATCCGAGATACAACGTATTTGGTGTGGTAGAACTCAAATAATTCGAGATAAAACTATGTATCCTGAGATGGCTGACACGCGATAAAATGAATACCAGCAGAACAGAATAGATCCTACCGTGCTTCCTTGTTGGGATATCTAGATACACTTTTGTCATATCCTGTTTATGGATGACGTCATGATTCTACATACGGGACATGAGAGAGGATTGAGTGTAATGGCGGACCGCCATGTGTTCCTTGTTGTGTTAAATAAAAGCAGTAGTTAATCCTTATTTTCGACTCTAAGTTACAACAACTTTAGATGAAATTTCACATTTTACAATTAAGAGGCTGTCTCTGTAAGAACCTCATAACCATTTTGGTTGAAAAAACAGATTTCTTTCAAACTTTGTGTGTGAGTGTGTCCTTACAAGGTTATTTCCAAAACACATTTTGTTTTGTGTCTCGGCGCTTTTTTGCAAAGTTTCAGGGGGGGTCCCCTTGGGGGCCAAATTAGTGATTTTGACTACTCATTCATGAAATTTGGGCGATGTTTAAAAATTCGTAAATCCATAATAAATCATCACAACACTAAATCCTTCCATATTATAGTAGACATATATCTTATGCAAAGATGAGTAGCCTTAAAGTTAAATATGAACTTATTTATATCTAGATATTTYAATTTTACCGACCATCGATAATCGACTTTGGCCAGTTGGCTAAAATATRGCTTAGGAAAAAAAATCAAAACTCAAAAGTTAGACTTCGTAGGACTATAATATTTGAGTACTGCAGATATAAAAGGTAGTTCTTACAGAAATTAAAATAACATTTTGCGGCCAGCAGGTTTTGAGAAGTGAACAGGTCGACAAACATTCAGTATTTTTGAGATTTAACGTATTACGTCAAAAAGGTGCTAATAGTTTTGAATGCGATTCATCTTTAAATGTATATAAATTCACTGTTTAAACTGATCTAATATATTTTAAAAACATATTTTAACCACACAAATTGTAAAAAAATGGTTTTAGAAAACAGTATTGGAATCGAAAGACTGATATAAGGTAAAATGCTGTATACTGTCATAAAAAAACGATAAGTTCACTCGAAATAAGTAGCTGTAAATTATTTGCACGATGCACAAATATCAATCGATGAACAAATCACAATGACTATTTGTTCATATTTTGCCTACAACCAAAAAGAAATCCAAATAATCTAGATAAAACACATGCCTTTGAAAACGAGTCATCATCTGCAGTTCGATACAACTGTCATCTTGATACATTTAGACGCAGAATTATCCACTTTTAGTCTTCAATTTCGTCCGCAATGAAGTCTTTGAATATAGTAACATACTAAAACATTATTCTTGTAAATTTATCGAGGATATTAGTTTAAAAAAACTGCCTCGTTATTTTCCTGAGTTCATCTTGTAGTTACTCTTTTCTAGTATACTAGTAGTAATAATCTAGTAGTGAAAGCCGCTGACCAGCAAAATAGACGAACATAGTGGATTATCGATTAATTAAAACCTATGTAAATCTATATTTACATATAAACAATTAATCAAAAAATTAAACAAAGTAATCTATATTGGAACCCGGCACCTTAATTTGTTATCAATAGTTGTCTTGTAGATTAATGAGTAAATCCTGCTCCACTCTTCCTTTTAATTGGCAAATTATCTCCCATTTTCGCTAAGAAGTTGGAAGTTCAAATTTTTTTCGAATCAAAAATTGATGAACTTGCTTCGTTTTTATGCCATCTAATAACAGCATTTTATTATAGATGCATGAAAATGAGATGCAAATGAGACAACAATTATTGTATCGGCCCATAGCATCGCTCGTATGATTCTTAAACAAAATAATTTCTCATTGCGGGCTCAACTGTAATAACAGCTATTCCATTATAAAAGTTAATAATATAGATGCAAAAAATTTTCACTTCTGATTGGTTGAGAGCAGTGCTGTTTTCCTGAAACACCAGTGCAAAAATGTGAAACGCCAGTTCAAAAATATGAAACACTTTTCAGTGATTGGTTGAAAGGACAAGAGAAATTCAAACTAGCCAAGCAGATCACAGCAGTTGTCATAGCAACAGAACAGCCTTCCCTCTTTGGAAGTTCTCAGAAAATTCAAGATGGCGGATTTTCATCTTAAAAACGGATTCAAAAATGCTAAAAAAACAAGCTTCATCAGTTGAAAACCAGCAAAAAAGGTTGAGAATGGCAAAAGGAGGACTCGCTGCTTGTCATTTGAGAATTAAGAAGGAAAAAAAACATCAGTTGGGGCTTTTTACAGCTGTTCAAGGTCACTTGACGCGAAAGTTGAAGCGAGAGACGCCTTGAAACTTGATGTTGAAACTTCAAGAGCTTTCGCCTACTTTATCCGTAAAGAGGTACATAATACTTCTGTACAAAGAAAGCAGCTTATTCAACTTTCCTTTGAGTGTTTAGGAATTGAAAAAAGAGGATATTTGATGATTTATGTGAGTTTTGCAGAATTTCTTCGCAATATGCTTACTTGTTTTCTCAAAAAATGTCAAATATTTGAAGTCTTGAAGATGAAAAAAATGATTTCTA